TTTTAAGTTCTTTGTAGGTATCTAATTGTGTTTTACCAATATTTGCACAAAATTTAATGATCGTCCGTATTTCCAGACGTTTAGCGACTGACAAATATCACGTGATTACAATATTGACGACCTCACACAAATGTTTGTTTACGACCGTTACAATACGGCAAATAACGTCACATTTTATAGTGACGTAAGGAATACGTACACATACTTTTCCCTGAGTTTTAAAGTTTATTTGTAGTGTCTAAAGAACACCGTGATGCATCAAAGTAATGAACTAACCCAAATTTTTGTCGTGCGCCGGTATTACGTTACCAAGGTAACTGTATGATGATTTGTTTTCACGACATTCAGGTTACACGTTTTTTTCTTTTGTTTTCTCTTTTGAGACAAATCTCCCCTTCAAGTCATATATAATTAATGTTTTTCTATCAATAACTCTCACGACAATAACTGCAGTGCACGAATTTTGTGGACAGCCCTCGTAAAAGGAAATATGGTATAATGTTACAATTTTCACGGGTGTGCAAAAATATATAACCAATTCACGCAAATTAAAATGCAAATAAAAGGTATTAAAGACTTATATTTTACAGTAATTATAACCGAGACTATGAATTTAACGTACCTCTTTTCGGATTTTTTACTGTTGTGCAGAAATAAAAAAAATCTCGTAGAATGATGTATAGAATTGTTTTCATATTCTTTTCTTTACCTTTTTCTTTCTATTGATATATAATGTGAAAATCGTAAATTATTTGTACAAGAATTAACACATTGGAAATTACCGGAACTTCAACTCAAACCCCCTGTATATTAAAATAAATCAATTAAGGATACATGTAATTATAAACATCACTATTAAGATAAATTATTTCATTAGTGGTTAGTGATGAATTTTATTACGACCACTATTGAAATAAATTATTTCAATAGTGGTTAGTGATGAATTTTATTACGACCACTATTGAAATAAATTATTTCAATAGTGGTTGATGATGAAGTTTATTACGACCACTATTGAAATAAATTACTTCAATAGTGGTGGGTTATGAAGCTTATTATGAGAAATAATTTGCAACCACTATTGAAATAATTTATTTCAATAGTGGTTTTATTTCAATAGTGGTTGCAACAAAGCAGAGATACCTGACTGGCGCTTTACAACAGCAAATTAACTTTTATGACATTCACTTCCTTATTACTTTAAAATCAATAACTTGAGAAAGCCTGATTACTGTCGATTTGCTATGATGTAGGCAGAAATAGTTGATCGATATTTGTCAACCTGTTTATACTGTAACCTTTGTCTTGAGAAAAAAGTCCTAGAATTATGATATATGGAAAGTATGGTTTGGTTTAACAATTTTGATGACAAAATAGAAAAAAAAACAGACAAAAACAACAATTAATTTCTATATGATTATATAATTTAAATAATTATTTGTTCTTTTTGTTGCTAAAAGTATGCAGCCACATATAATAAGTTGATACATGTAAGTAATGGTAGCAACCAAAAACAAAACATATAAACAACATATAAAACACATACACAAAACCCCAAAACAATAAAACAAATTAATTACTTTTTAATAGCTTTAGACTGCGAGGAAAAAATGTTATGTAAATAATAAATAAATATCTGTTGATTTTATCTAGTTTGCTTAATACTACATTGTATTGGAAACTCCATAACGAACAAATCATGATCAAAGATGTGCAAACGATATTATGAAAATAGCAAACACCTTATAGGCGTATGCTAAAATAGCAAACAACTACCTGAATACCTGAGAAAAAGAATAAATTTTTATATAATTATATAGTTTAAATAATAATTCGTTCTTTTTGTTTAAAAAAAAAGTATGCAGCCATATATAATAAGTTGATCCTTGTGAGTAATGATATATATTCCTAATATTTTAATAGAAATTTTAATGACAAACCCCTGTTGTCAATGTAGTACCATGGTATGTATGTATCAAGAGGAACATATAAAGCGTAAACAAGTGCTATGGCAAAACATTTGTAACTTTTACCTTTCAAATGCATTACGACACTTACAAATAAATATTCCTGTTTGATCATAAGGTAAAAAATCAGCTTGAGACATGATAAAATTATCTTTTCTGGATGTTTATTGCATTTATCAGACATTATGATACATAAAATGCATTTTATCTGTTAATTACATATGATGCGGAATTTATGGGTCTTTTGAACATACCGACGTGTTATCTCTTTTATTCAAACGAATAGAGTACAGAATATTGATAAAAACATGGGGTAAACTTGAAAGGTATAAGTATATCTCTTCCTGGTTTGTCCAAATTCATCTAAAACACACTTAAATCATGATCGGTAATTGAACAAATTGATATCTTATTAAAACTGGCATATTTCTCATATTTCCTATTATGGGTCTGCTATTCTGATAAACTATCTTTCAGGTCTGTGTTTTACACTTGTCTTCATGTAATCCAGATGATTTACACTATGCATTCACGCCATTCAGATACACAAAAGAGTCATATTAACGCTTTTATGATTAAAAAAGATGAGTCAAAGTGAAATATGATTGTATGGTAAATCAACACGACATAATTGGTTTCTATAGTAATAATACCTAGCATTTTACAAATAATAATCTCCCTATTATTAACGATATACCTATTTCTCTTTTTTCCATGGTAACAAATGAGAGCATAAATTAACAACGAAACTTCAAGCGTAAAATAGGTGTGCTCTTCTATAAACAAATCGACCCATAAATAACATATACAATGTTTATATCTAAGGGTTTAACGTATAAACTTAACAAATAAACACAAACTGTCTATATGTTAATTAGGTAAACTGAACTAAATCTAACTCTTGGATTGTGAAACTAAAGCTCAAGTCTTAGAACAATTTTAGTATCAAAATGGATTACCTCATTTAAAAATTACAACGCGAGGCTGCCATATTTCTGATGATTGTATATTACTATGGTAAAAAGCAATTAAATAGTTACCGTAACGATAGTTGTCAAATTTAAGAACATTACATTCACCAATTGATGAATATGCTTCAATGTATTATAGTTGACATTTTATAAGAAATATGTGCTGGCTCATTAATGTACAATATGGTTTGCCTGAATTTCAAACCAGATTTAGAGTTTTTCAATTTGTTTAGAATTAAAAATGTCGCGTAGAGAAACACTGTCAAAACTTTGTAACTGTTACATTAATAAAGCAATCTAATAATTGATATTTACGTTAACTTTGTAAACTCACTGTTTTCACTTTGTGAGATTGAAAGTGTCGTTAAATGTCGTTTAATGTTTCAAACAGCAGCAAAAAGAAGTGTGAAAGTTGCATTAATTCCGTTAAACTGAAAATCAAAGTGTTCTTCCTTTTTTGAATAAAAGTTTAATAAATTTGAGCGTTGCATTTACAACGTTACACTGAACGTAAAAAGTTCCCGAGAAAAAAATAAAACAAAAAAAACTAAAGAAAATATCAGACCGGAATTATAGCGAGGAACGCTTCCAAGTTATACAATCATACGAATTATAGACATACAAGCTTGATTATGTATGTATAATTGCATTAAACTTGATGACTTGCAATATATTATCATTCCTGTAATCAGACAGACCCCCCCCCCCCTCAATTTTGTTCGACTTAATATGAATAAGTTACAATGAAATAGCATATATTAACATACACACCAAAAACATTTATCATTATCTCTTACAATTATTTCGCTAGCTATATGTTGTATATAAAGCATTAAGAAATTGACATTTGCTAAGATACATGCTTCTATTGCATGTATTAATGACGTTGAAGTTTCTCTGATAAAGGCAACATCAATCTGTCTGCAAAACAGTAGCAGTCTTATAATTAAAAACATAAAATCAGTAAAGCATTATTGAGATTGTAATATTCAATAGCAAATGTTTCCTATCTAGAAATGCAGTGTGAAGCGACATAAAATTACATCATAGATTGAAAGCATTTGTATCTATTTTCGACTCTCTTAATCTATGTTAGAAAAAAGGTCATCCTAAAGTTAAACATCTTCTTATACTGGAATATCTCTAGGCTGTAGAATGATACATTTTTGAAATAAACAAGCAACTTCTAACCTTCTCGAAGGTTATATTGCTGAGCTATGTCTTTTAACAATTTTTAATTATTTAAATGAAGCAAATATGAGGACATCTCAATTATTTAAACTACACATAACATTGAATTTATAAATTGAAATAAGTGGATTGCATTAGTTTTTATTGCAATCACAACGTTGTATACACTTATGTTCTTATAGTAATGCTAATTAAAACCGTTCCTGTTCCAAACATCATTAAATAACAGACCAACTGACAGATAGACCAAAAAATGTTTCATGTAATAAGTGTTATTTTAATTTCCTACATGATATTTACACTGTCATTCTAAATTCATAATTTTAGGACATTTTTTTCTAATTTTACGGTCTGTTCATACTAGCGGAGGAACAACAAATAACACTACATCATACCGATCACATCATCGTTTCTAGAACAAAGAAACCGACAGATAAATATCAGAAAAGATAATCTGTCAGCTATAGATGTATTTTATCATCAACATAGATTTTTATATACCAATATGAATACAAAAGAACTAAGAATTGACTAGTATGTGATACGAAGTGTATTTTTAAACATAGAGATATTTATGTAACACATATTGATATTGATACCATTAGTCAATAGTTAATTAATTATATTATTTATAAATAATATTTACTCAAGATAATGAAGTGAAATATTTACAACCTATTCAATACTTGATAATGTGTCTTTATTTGTTTTCCTTGATTGAAATGGATGAGATTATCATGAATAGTCATTATATGACTCAAACTAAATATTGCATCCATGACAACCTATTTCATTTCTAATATTTGGAATAAAGAAAGAAATGTTAGCATAAAAACAAATAAATGGTTATGAGAAGAAAGTATATTTATACCTTAGTTAGATATCATATTCACACTTTAAGCATATTCCTTTTCTATGCAAATAGTATTCCAAAACTAAATAGAATATCCTAACAACCAGATTTAGCTTTCTCGTTTCGAAACATCTATTCAGTCCAAGCAGTGTTACGAAAGCTATCGTGATCTTCACAAGAATACTTCAAATCCAATATACCTTTTTCTATACACCTTACATATGCAATAGCAATAAAGATTTAGCCTTAAAAGAAAGCTATTTCCTCTTTCCACCCAACATCACTGGTTGTTTTGTTACAAATTGCAGTTGAATGTGCAAGTACAGAGAAGTGATAAAACCGAAATCACGACATCTGCTAGAAATAGACAAACCTGTTATTTTTGTTTGTTTTTATTCAAAGTAGGAAATGAAATTTTGTGGTAGAGATGAATATTTACAGCGTTGGTCAAATTATGTATCAAAATCTCAATCAAAAACGTTACTTTGTCTTTCAATTTTATTCAATTTTATTCAACCCGCAAGTTTTCAGATAAGATTTAATTGTAATTTTTGATCCGAAAGTTACTTATAAAATGGGCAAAACGAATTAACGCTTTCAAATACATTTTTCATTAAAATGAAAATTATAAAAACACATTAACAAATCTTACTGAATGACTTGAAAAGTTGCCCCGTACATCACTTCAATGTTGTTATATTTTTCTGGTCATTCAGGATCATTGATGCCAGCACTATTAAGTGTTGAGAATTGAGAACCGCTCAAGCCGGTGCTAGAGGACGTGAGGGATGTTGCACTTATTCATTATCACTCATGTACATACTCAATCAAACCGAGTTTGCACTTTTCATGTTATTTTGTTGTAATCGATGTTTCCGAGGGATCATTTTGTTTTCAATTTTTTTTTCCTTATTTGATGCCTTTCGTATAATTTTATAGTTTTCAATTCGAAAATGAGTGTGGTCAAAACATTGTCACGAGCAGCACATTTCATTTAAGTCCCACGACATTTGACAGAATGTCTTACGCAGTTTTGTTCTTCAATCTCAATTGTATTTTAAGAAATTGGTATTGACATGTGTGATAGCAGACGAACTTTCTCGGTGCAAAGTAACCTCTACATGTAAAAATCTGATTCATTAAGAAAGGACGTCAACTAAACTAGCTAGGCAATATAGAGCGAAAACATGTACATATTCTTGATTTATAGGTCACATTCTGGTAAAATAATGTAAAGGCAGCATTCTAAAAACATGGTAATCATTTCTAACTGATGATCTACGTAGGTTTACAAGTAAAATATATTGTACTGTGATCAGTAAAATCTGGGATCGTTCCGTAACATTTGAAAAATGAGTAATTTGGATATTCACAATATATACGATTGTATCATATTTTAGGGACCTTTCTGTTGAAAATGTGTTATAGTTAAATCGCACAGTGCCCATTGATTGGCTCATTCCTTTTGGGGTTTCTTATTGTGACGACAGAGAAAGGGATAGCGATAGAAATGTCATATTCAGATGCTCGTTCACTGGTTACTTTTTTTCTTGTACAGAATCAGTGTAAGGAAATTAGGAAAACTGAAATAATTCACAAATATCTGATGTCTAATAATGGTATGTCTTTAGACATTCTATAGATATGTCTATTTTATTAAAATAATATTAAATAAAGGCTACGAAAATCAACATGAATTACTTTCACGATTTGCGATCAATTGAACTTGCAAATATTTGTGCCATATACGAGATATTTTGAACGTATATTAGTCTATTTTTGTAATAACAGCAGAACATTTTATATTCAACAAAAAAAATGTAAATGCAGTAAATCTGCATTAATTTTATGTTGTCAGCAACATTTCTGAAATAATGTATATTGCGTTTAATATTGTGTGTCAGCTGACGAAATACCATTTTTCAATATACAAAGAAAAGAAAATATTCCGTGTGAGTTAACTTCGTATTTAGTATATTGTTTAGCACATTACGCGTTTAAAATAGTTAGAAAATACAATGATAACATGGGCAGTGTTTGTCACATAAACAAAAAAGATTATTTAATAAATAGAAAAGGCATGATAATGAAATTCAAATTTATTATCTTTACAACATTGGCATCCTAGAGACTGTAATATAATTACCTTCTAGCCTCAAATGTTACTTCAAATTTTACTGATAGATAATTATTTTAGATAACAATATCAAATGCGTCTACGCATTAACCGTAGGTGTTGTCTCAGAATGCTTTTAAACAATTATTGTGATGACATAAACTACATATTTTTAGAATTCATTCAATTATTTTAACTTAACGTCTATCCAAGGTACGCACTGTTCTGTATTTAAATTATGTACACCACAATTTAATAGTTATATATTTCCGCATACACTTAAATTGATAAATTACACTTAATTTCATACATACATACACACTTTAAAAAACATTATTGATCCTTCAGCTCCCTAAGAGCAACTTACATCATATATTTTCATACGGCTAACATAATATTGTTCCTTGAAAAAATGATACATAAAATGCATTTTATCTATTTATTACCTATGATGCAGAATTTATTGATGCATTTGAACATAATAACTTTTATATTTATCGTGTAAATCAAACACATCATACACAGATTATCGATCAAGACATGTTGTGAAAGTAATGTACACTTTGTGTAAGGCTTACCTAGCCCTAAGTTGAATTGTTAAGATTTTCTTTTTTTATAGCAATTAATGCAAGTTAAGTTTAAACAATTCATTTTTGATATAATAAATTTATGAAACATGCATGAACATTGAGCTAAATGAAATATCCTAAAATCGTTGGACGGTAACTCATCTATTTGTCAATCTAAGTCTAAGTTATAGTGCCCAAAACCAGTTATCTGCCTAAAACAGTCTACTCTATCTAGCAAAAAATCTAACCTATATTATTTTCTACGAATAATAAATAACGTCAGACAAAATATTCCTTTAATAATGTTTAAAAATACAGCAAAATTTGGGAAATAACATTATACGCACTTTTGTTAAAAACGCATGTTGTTATTTAAAACCTTCAAATAGCACGATTTTCAATCAGTAACAATAATGAGCATTTTTGTTTAATGAAGCGTTAGCATGAAAGCAGCAACATGGTTTAAACAAAAAAATATACATTTATATCTAAGAAAATATTTTCTTACTTGAAGCAAAAATCTATTCTTGTAAAAAGTATTCTCAACCTCTTTAGAATATCCTTATTACCAGATTTTCACTAACGTTATTTCAATTGATGCAATGTGACACGAAACCTAATGTTATCTTCAGAAGAGCATGCTTCAAATCCAATATACCTTTTTTCCCTATACACTCTACATGTTTGCAACAGCAATAAAGATAGAGTGTCAAAGGAAAGCTTTTACTCCTTTCCACTGAACATCTGTAGTGATTGTGTTAGAAAATGCAAGTAAAATTGCAAGTAGAAATACTGATGGTATCGGAATCACGATTTCTGTTGAGAATAGACACATCTGTCATGTAATCTATCTTTATTAAAATCCAAGGTGATAAATCATATTATTTTGTGTTAGAATAAGATAATATCCAGCCTCAGGAAAATATTCCAGCCCCATGAAATTATAGAAATTTTAATTGCATGAGTTTTATTACAATTGTCGTTCATATCAGATTTTATCCGTAGAGATTGTGTGTAGATTGTGTCATGCAATGACTTTAACACATTCTACTGTCATCAAAAAGCTATGGCAGAATTCGGGTAAATGATTTCGAATACGTCTCTTCAGTTCATTTTTTCCATATAATCATGTTTCATTTTTATAAATAAATTATCGCTTGTATAATTAATACGACGAATGCAAATATATTGGCAAAGACAATATCAGATTTGCATGAAAACAATTAAATACGAACAAAACAACCAAAAACCGTTCAAATATTGTAACTAGAAAACACAGAAGAGAAACATCACACAAGATACATATATAACAATAAAGATTGGCTGTATTTGAAATCAACATAAGTTAAATTAGAAATATGAACATAAAAAGATAACAGCAGACTTTAAAGACAATAATGATTAATTATTTATCTAACAACTGCTTATAAAATGAGCAAAACAAATGTGCAATTGAAAAGTACATTTTCAATTCATCAAAGTAAAATGAAAACATGTAATCATACAAGACAGACAGGAAATAATACTAGGATCATTGTCAAACCAAAGGTTTCAAAACATAATTTTGTACAAAGGGGTAACAAATTGATAAACTATTCACAATTTTCGAACCACCACAAAATCATGGTTTGTTATAAACTTCAACATGTCTTCGAGCTGATAAAACGCGTTAATACCCTCATGTCGAGCAAAATATAACACAAGAAATATTATATAAATAACACATGGGTTTGTGGGTAACAGTAAAAATATCATCCCGAGGAATACACTGTTACCCGAGACATAGCCAAGGGTAACAGTATTTTTTACGAGGGATGACATTCTTACTGTTACTCACAAACCCATGTGTTATTTATTTTATTACCCCGACAAATACTGTGATCATATGTGTCAACTAAATCTAACTGTAACAAAAATAAACCAAGAGTAACAATAACTAAACTGTCTTTACCTTTTAAATTTTAAGTTTATTGTACAGTAGACCTATTAGCGAGTGATGATATCTACCAGTCATAAACATACAATGAGCTGTGTTTTATTTAGAAAACAAAACACAAACCCATTTATACGGTTATGATCAGTGAAATCTGATCCTTCTGTATCCAGACTACTCTTTCCTATGTGTTTTCAAAATAACGATGATATCCTATGTCTGTCCAGCATATCTGTAATGTTTCACTGAGTAAAATTGTTAAATAATCCTTTACTCGTCTGAATGTTCCATTTTGACACATAATCATACTTACGGTGAAAACGGATGTTTACTTTTAGACTATTCAACTAAAAGATATTTTATACGCGAAAAGCACTCTAGGGTGCAAGAAACTAAATTTTATGGGTGTTCATAGTAACTCTAGTGATGCCCCATTGTGGTAAATTTCGAAAATAACAATGAATCGAGAAAAAAAAATGGCGGCCATTGTATTTTATTTTATTTAGAAAATAGACAACTTAACCAGATTTTATACTGTTAAAAAAGTACTGTTACCCTTAGAACAGTATACATTTCTTTGTCACGTGGTACACTTGCTTGCATTAACAGTAGAAATAACTCCCAGAGGCCTATGGGAAATTAACATAACGAAAAAAGTGAGGG